CTGTGAACCCGCAAGAGCGCGCGGGATGAAATGTTGAAAACTGGTTGTTGACAAACCATTGGGTGTTTGGTGTTTGCACGCTGAAATCGCAACGAAGACAACACGGTTTTGGAAGAAGTTCGTCTTGCGCGCGCGCATGTGGCCCGCATGGTATTTTTGTCATGGGGATTTGTGCATTCAGCTCATCTTAGATCAACGCATGTGCACCGCATGGTATTATTTGACAAGGATGAGGGGGGGACCCGATCTCGGGAGGGACCAGCTGGGATGGTATGAGTTCAAATGGAAAACGAACAAGGAGGCATAATCACATGTAAATTTCCATACCCCAGGGGGGAGTGGTAATCCCAGGGGGGGGGGGGGAGAATCGCCGAAACATCGCCCTAAGACTCCCAAGATGGCTCTCTGACGGCCCAAGATGTCTCCGAGACGCCCCAAGAAACGTCGAAGAAACCTCCCAAGAGGGCCCCAGGAGGCCAAAATCGTTGACTGTCACCAGTTTTTGTTCAAGGTTTCCGGCGCTCTCGCCTGTTCGGCCTTCCGACGCTCGAAGACGGCCCAAGAGGCCCCCAGACCGCCCCAAGACAGCCCGAGAGGCCCCCAAGAAGGCCCCAAGACGGCCCAAGAGGGCCCCAAGACGGCCCAAGAGGGCCTCAAGATAGTCCAAGAGGGCCCCAAGAGGGCCCCAAGAGGGGCCCAAGAAGGGGACCACGAACCGAAAATGTTAGCTTTCCGCCCCAAGAGGCCCCTGGGAGGCCCTAGGCAGCCCCCAAGGGGCCCCAAGAGGCTCCCAAGAGACTCCCACGAGACGCCCAAGAGGATTAAAAAGATGCCCCAAGAGGCCCAAACAGCCCCCTCCAGAGGCCTGCAAACTGCCTCGGGCAGGCCCCCGAGAGGCTTCTCACGAAATCCCAGCGAACATCCAAGAGGCCTCTGAACCACAACCCAGGCACGGTGTTGGGATGGGCCGAAGGCCACTATATAGAAATACAAGAATAAATCACGTAGCACCCAGAAGCCGCAACAGCGACTCGCCCCCAAGGGGTCGGCGGTGCGGCGTAAGCCAACTAATCTATGTGGTGCAATGTATGTGCTGCAGTCCTCGTTGCGGTGACGAGGCGGCGAGGCGACGGCGGCACCAATGTGGCGGACCCGAAAAACAAGCCCAGACGACGGGCGGCGACGTGGCGACGATGAGGCGTTCGACGGCGGCAACACGGCGTCCGATGCGACAAACCAGCCCAGACGACGGGCGGCGACGAGGCGGCGATGGCGGCAACAAGGCAGCGAATCCGACAAACAAGCCCAGACGACGGGCGGCGACGAGGCGGCGACGGGGCGGCGGACCCCATGCGACGGGGCGGCGTCGGGGCGGTGACGGCGGCAACAAGGCGGCGGACCCGACAAACGAGCCCAGGCGACCGGCGGCGTCGGGGCGGCGATGGCAGAAACAAGACGGCGGATCCGACATACGAGCTCAGATCCCTTAAACAAAGAAGTGAGAACCCCTAAGTGCAAATACTGTTTGGGGAAAATTGCAATCGGTCGGTCTACCTATTCATATGGGCAGTTGTCCGAAACTGTGGTGGCTGATTATGTATGTGATTTCTCCCCATCTGTCCTGGGTCTTGGCATGCTCGGCTCCACGCTTTAGCATGGCTGTCTCCACACCGCGCATTCACTACTCCACCAGTGTTTTGCCTCTGCTCTATTGGACTGTCTTGGTTCGGGAGCGTTCGAACTTGTCTGGGTTCTCCCTATCATGCGACTGTCCAACTGTTCTGCGTGAATGTTGGGAACAGGTTGGTAATTACTTCTCTAGCAGCGCAGCTCGTGTAAAGCAGATCGTGGCGCGGCGATCGGATAGGCGAAAAGAGCAGAGAAGCAGAAACGGTGCTGGGAGGCCTAGATGGAAGTACGCCTGCGGATAGGACTCAGACGCTTGCAGCGCGTCCAGGAAGAACTGCTTCGCTGGCTGACCAGATAGCTTGACCTGCACACCACTCTCGGTGAGGCAGCGCGCCAGCTCGACCCGCAGCTCCGAGTTGCAAGCGTCGCGCTCGAGAGCCTCCCTTGACACCTCTTTCTGTGGCAGCCTCCGACATGTTCTCTCTCTGTCTCTCTTGCTCTGTATCTATCCCCTGCCTCTCTCTGAACAGCTGCATACATATACCTAAATGTATAGCTGTAACTCTCCCTCTCACGCTCTCTCTCTCTCTCATTATATGCTAACTCACTCTTTCTTGATCACATTTAATACTTATATACATGTATGTACGAATGTCTCCCAGACTCTCTCTCTCTCTACCTATGTTATTTATGCATATGTATCCCCCTGTCTCCTTTTCTTTCTCTCTCTCTCTGTGTCTCCGTCTATCTTTCTCTCTCTCTCTCTCGCTCTCTCTCTCTCTCGCTCTCTCGCTTTCTCTCCCTCTCTCTGCTCCCGACCCTCCTCCCTCCTCCCTCCTCCTCCTCCTCCTCCTCCTCCTCCTCCTCCTCCTCCTCCTTCTCCTTCCTCCTCCTCTCCTCCTCCTCCTCCTCCTCCTCCTCCTCCTCCTTCTCCTCCTCCCTCCTCCTCCTCCTCCTCCTGCTCCCTCCGCCTCCTCTTCCTCCTCCTCCTCCTCCTCCTCCTCCTCCTCTTCCCGTTTGGCCTACAATCAATTCCTCTCTGCCTACAGGCACGGCTATGGGCGCTCTCTCCCTCCCTGCCTACAGGCCTACGGGAACTCCTGGCCTATAGGCACTCCGTCCAGCCGCGCAGGCTCCCTCTTGCCTAATAGGCACTCATTCCCTCCTTGACTTCAGGCACGCGCAGGCCTACAGACACACACACCCTGCCTGCACGCCTACGTACACTCCTCGCCGTCAGGCCCCCCACCCCCCCGCAGAAGGCCCGTGCCGCCTTCCAGGAGCCCCCTTCCCCCCCCCTCTGGCGACACCCCCTGGACGGGTGTTGCCAAAGGTGCCAACTGGGTCCCGGCCCAACGTGCCCCCAGGATTTCCAGGGAGGCACCCCCCGCCTCCGAGGGCACCCCATGCCGAGGCCCAGGCAGCCCCAGGCGACCCCAAGTCGGCGCGAAAAACTGGAGACGCCTTGGGCTGGCGACACCAGTGGCAACCCCAAACACCCGACGTCATAACGTCTTCGCAACGACGCGCTTCCCAGAGGTCTGCACCCTTTCCCGGAGACCACCTTTTCACCCCGAGCCGACTTTTGACGGTTCTGGGGCCCGGCGAGGCCCCCCTTCGGAGACTGATCATTTCTAAAGACCTCCCGTCGTGCTTTTTGATGTTTTTCGCAGGGTGGGGGCAGCCCCGAGCCTGTGCGTGCCGCCAAGGCCGTGCCGCACCCGGGCCCCCTCCAGTTGATGGACAAACTCTTGCACCACCCGTGCGACCCGGGTGCCGCCGCAGACTTCAACGCAGCCCCCCTTCGGCCCGATTCAATGTGGGTCGGCATCGCCAATGGGGCGCAGGACTTCGGCCCATCGACAGATCGACACATCGCGGCGCAGCCCGCCAACATGTGACATTGGCGGCGCGCGGGGTTCACACAAATCCGCGCCACTGGTGCGGGAACTTACTTGCCCCGAGGTCCGACGTCTCGCTGACTTCAATTAGGAGGCAACTACTGGGAGGTTTTCGTCGGGAAGATTAAGGAGGATTCAGCCCCATTTGGAAGCTGTTACACCGGAGTGGGCCTCGGACTCAGCAGGATTAAGGCGGATTAAAACGGGATTAAGCGGGATTAAGCCGAATTCAGCGGGATTGAGCTAAACGAAGCCGGAGTTCGGACCAGGGCGAGAACAGAATGTGACCTCCCGAGAGCTGCATCCGAACTTCAATACAGCGTCTCCCGCCGGAGGTCTCGACTCTCTCCCTGGGGCCGGCCCTTCATCCCGAGTAGCTCTTGGACGGTCAACGGGCTCGCCGGCCGAGGGCCTGCAGAAGCCGAGCACGGCGAGAAGTGCCCGTCCCGGTGGCTTCCAGACGTCGGCTCCGGGGTCCGTCAGCCCCCTTTCCCGCGGTGGCGGGGGGGGGACCGCCTCGCGTTAGGTTGGTTGGCAGGGGTAGGTGGAGGAATTAACACCCTAACACCCTTGGGCGAAAGAAGCCCGAGATCCGTGATGACGCAGGGCTCAAGGCGCTTTCTCGGCGAGGCTACGCCCTGGGTAGAGGAGCCCAGGGGGGCCCGAATCCAGCACTGCTGAACACATCTGTGCGCTCTCTTTCCAGCCCCCTTTCGTAAAATGTGGTTCAGTGAAAACGGCCTGAGGCCCAAACCTGGCGGGCGCAAGCCTGGGAAATGACGGCCGCGGCGCCCTCTCGAGAACCGAAAACGAACAATTCACTAATCGACGTGCCACTGTTGGGGGTGCTGTCCGCCCCCGACCTTTCCTGCGGTGGCGGGGGGGGGGGGACCGCCTCGCGCAGGCAGCCGGCGGCGTCGGCCCACCGCTCCTCTTCCCAGGCGTGTCCCTCTACGCGAGGAGTATTCCAAAATGGTTAAGAAAATAGTCCGGAGGCGATCTGTGCTCAGTATCTCTTGACCTTTGCTGCCACATCTGTCTGGGTATTTCTGATGTTTCGCGCTGGCGGGGGGGGGGGGCGCCTCGCGCAGGCAGCCCGCGGCGTCGGCCCACCGCTCCTGCCGCACGAGGGCGCTCGCCCGGGCCCGGGTGGCGGGGGCGCTCCGGGGCTCCAGCCGCAGCGCCTGCCCGCCGCGCGCCGGCCGTCGACGTCGTCGACGTCGTCGCCGCCGCCGGCGGCGTCCTCGCCGCAGCGACGGCGGCCTCGCCATCGCTCGGACGTCCATTTCCCGTGCATTTGTCGGTTTCGTGCGTGTTTTTTTTGCTCGAGGGTCCAGGATGGTCCTCGATGGTTCTCGCCGAGAAAAAATGCACACGTCCGAGCGATGCCAAGCGACCGCGGACACGCTAGCTTCCTTGTCGCCGCCGCAGCCACCGCCGTCGTCGCCGGCGCTGGCATCGTCGTCGCCGCCACCGCCGCCGTCGTGGTCCTCGTCGTCGAGTCGTACTCGTCGCCGCTTGTCTTGCCGGTGCAGCCCTCGGGACCCAGGAAGCCTCTGGGGACGTCAAGACGTCTGGCTCGAGGTTCGAAAAAACTTGTAGTCCAAATGATTGTTGTCAGTTTGCCTTTTGGTGGAGAGGGGCTTGGGCTTACACCTACCAGGCTTCGCCGACACCGATGGCACTATTTCCCCCCCGCGGGTAGAAGCAGGAAGCCGTAGAAAAAAATCAAAATGACGAGGCGACGACGATGAGAAGAAGGACATGTAATCTGTCGATGAAGCGGCGCACTAGCTGAAACCCTCAACCTCAAGATCTGCTCCGTATGGTGCTTGGGTGCAGCATCCGCGGTTGCGGAGGGCGGCAACTCATGGGAGCCTCCCATACCATCTTGTCGGCTCTTGCGAATCGACTCGAATCGAAACTAATCGACGCTGAATCTGCGTTAAGTCGGCACATCTCATCGGCTCCCATACGCTAGATGACGCTGATCGACACCAGAGACGGAATTCAGAGGGTATACCAGGCTCCCATGATTTGTTACCGAAGGAAGTGTCGGGGAAGCTAGTGCCAATTTGGCCGGGTGAAATGTCAAACCGTGGCTTGCGGCATTGGCTGCCGCGCTGACGCTATCAAATGCAAGCGCTTGTCGACCAGGCACGCTGGAACTATTCTCGGAGAGTGCCGGGGGGAGAAGACCAACATATAAGGAAGGCGTTCTCTGGGTGGCGTTTCGGCCATGCCGGGGCGTCGCCTGCTGAATGCAACGACCTTCGATTAACAGAAAACTGCATGCTCCATGTGGATTCCTCAGATCGGCGCTGGACTCCCCCCCAAGTCGGCTACACGCAAGAGTGACCCTGGGTAAGAGTCACGCGGGGTGGCCAAACCTGGGCGCGCAAGCCGCTGCTACCGCTTCGCGCTCAGCGATCGGGGGACCCCTTTGGGCCCGCACCAAAGGTCACTCCGGCGAAAGGTCATTCTTACGTGTAGTCAACCCTGGCGCGGGTCCAGCGCCGATCCAAGAAATACGCGCGGTGCTCCAAACGGTCCCAGACATGCGACGTCCTGATTTTTTCAGTGCGGCGTCCCCAGAAGTCTGGACCCTTTCCCCGTGACCGGTTTTGCATCCTGAATCGTTTGCTGACGGTCGTCCCGAGGCCCGGCGAGGGCCCCCCGGGGCCGAAAATTGCGAAACATCGCCCGTCCTATTTTTTTTCACGACGCGATCCTGCCTGGGGTCATGGTTGTGCCAGTTGCTGCTCTTGGAGATGCGGCCGCAACAAGCGCACCGCTCGACACCGCCGTGGCCGTCACACCGCAGCCGCAGAGGCGTCGAGCACCTCGTGCGGCGGCCCGTCGCCCCCCCCCCGTCACGAAGCGCTCGAAAGCCGCGAGCCCAACGCACCAGAGGGCACCGAGCACGCCAGCCCGCGCAGCATGGCAGCTACCCTGCCCACGCGACGACCTGGAATATCGGGTCGGGCGAAAGGGGGGGATAGCAAAGGGGGGGTTTGATAATCAGCTCACGTAGCTGATTTTCCCGGCGCCTCCAGGCGCCGGAGGCGACTATGTATCGAGGAATGGGCCCCTCGGTGATGCCGAAATCAGCTGCATGCAGCAAATTTCGTAACCCCCCCTTTCCCAATCCTCCCCTTTCGCCCGGCCCGAGAATAGCCCTGAGATCCCGGCGACTCCATTTTTTCGAGCTGGGCGTTTGCGCACGGCTTCGGGCCTCGGGACCCTCACAGATCGATCTGGCTGGAAGAATAGAAAAGAAAGATCGGGTCTAGGGCTCCCAGCGTGATGTTTTGCGATGTTGCATGTTTCGCATCGTCGGATCTCGGGGAACGTGCAGGACACGTGGGTCGGTGAGGCTTCGGGTTGCGCCCAGGTAGCACCAGCCAGCCTCAACAGGCCCCCCAGATGCTCCCAGCTGGCATCAGCAGGCCCCCGAACAGCTCGGGGCAGTCTCAAAAACCCTGGCGCCGCCTCTGGCGGCGCCCCTGGGGGCGCTCCGCCCCCCGCCCAGGGTTGGGGTGCTGAGACCGTCCTGGGCTACTTTCGGCGGTGGACAAACCTCCCTTTAGTAAACCTCCCCTTAATAAAAACGGCCTAGGACCGAAACCCACGGTCCCGGACCCGCAAAGATGGCGGCCGCGACGCCCCCTCGCGAAGCGAAAACGGCCCATCATTCGCTACTCGGCGTGTCAGGGTAGGAGGTCTGTCCATCCCCGATACTTTCGGGGATCTTCTGACCCGGGTCAATCCAGACCCGGGTCAGCCAAGCCTTGCAGAATCCTGCAAGATCCTGCAAGACCCTGCACCCAAACCCGGGTCAATGCGAAGGATCCTGCAAGATCCTGCAGGATCCTGCACCCAAACCCGGGTCAATGGGAGCCTGGCTCTGCAGGATCCTGCAAGATCTGACGCTCTGGCTGACCCCCGTTTGCATTGACCCCCGTCTCAAGGCTCCCGATACTTGGGGTGTCTGTGGAGGCCGGCTTGCGCCTCTCCGGGGGCCGTCGAGGCCAGCCGAGGCCACCTATAGGGCGGGGCGTCTGCACGCGAGCCGAAGCCCTGCCATGCCCACGGTGACAAGCCCTGTGGTCCGACGCAGCCAAAAAAAACAGCATCGTAAGACATCACGCCAGGAGAGCCCCATCTCTCTGCGCTATTTAGGGCTCCCAACTTCGCGCTTCGCGCTGCGCGAAGCGCGAAGCGCGAATAACTTCGCGCTCTCGCGCCGCCCTCCCAAAGGGAGAATAGGAGGACGAGGAGGAGGAGGAGAAGGAACGAGGACCGCGAAGCGCGAAGCGCGAATAACTTCGCGCCCTCGAGGGAGCCCTTAAATACAGCATCGTAAGACATCACGCAAGGAGAGCCCCATCTCTCCGCGCTATGTTTCGGGCCAGGTCGATCTGTGGGGGCCCTGGCGTCCGAAACGGTGCGGAGACGCCCGGCTCGGGAAAGTGGGGCCGCCAGGATCTCGGGGGCCTGGAACGGCGTGCAGGGGACGCGGGTCCAAGCAGCGTCGGGTGTGCCGAAGCACGCACTCCGGCGGATGGGCACGGAAAGATCAAGGCGCATCGAAGGGGAGGGGGGCGGGAGGAGGAGGAGGAGGAGGAGCAGGAGAGGGTGAGGAGGGTGAGGAAGTCAGGAGGACGGTGGGTGGGGGGAAGGGCAGGAGGAGGCGGGGGAGGAGGAGGAGGAGGAGGAGGAGGAAGAGAGGAGGAGGAGGAGGAAGAGGAGGAGAAGGAGGAGGAGGAGGGAGGAGGAGGAGGAGGAGGAGGAGGAGGAGGAGGAGGAGGAGGGAGGAGGAGGAGGAGGAGGAAAGGAAGGGGTCGCATCTTCGTGAGACCTCTGGCCGGAATCTGCATCGACGCGCCGGAGGCAGGGAGGAAGGGAGATCACTCCGAGGAGCGCCTCCCCGGAGCAGCCCCGCGACCGACGCGCAGGCACCGCGCGAACGCTCGCATGCGGCTTGTCGCCGGCCGCCCGGAGCTTGGCCAGGGAGCTGGACTCGTTGCCCTGCGCGCAGCGTCGCTCTGTCGAAGCTCGGCGGAGCGGCCGCGGCGATCGCGCGGAAAGGCCGCGCCCGACATCCGATGGAGAGCCTTCCGTGCGCGCCGTTTTTTTTCCCAGCAGTGAGCCCTGCAGGCTGTTGCCGTGGCGGTGCTGCGGGCGCCCACCAGACTCGACGTGAAGGCGGAGGACTGCCACGTTCGCAACACGTCTGGAGGCGCCCAGTCACTGGCGCCAATGAGCACCAAGGGCTCCTAAGTTCGCGCTTCGCGCTGCGCGAAGCGCGAATAACTTCGCGCCCTCGCGCCGCCCCCCCAAGGGGGAGAAGAGGAGGACGAGGAGGAGGGGGAGGAGGAAGGAGGACCGCGAAGCGCGAAGCGCGAATAACTTCGCGCCCTCGGGGGAGCCCTTGGAGCACACATGAGCAGTCACGTCGCGCATATGTATGTTTTCCCATGTTCAGGAAGGTTGACAAATCGCAGGAGGAAGTTGGCCATGCGGAAAGAGTAGCTGCAACGATCCGCCGCAGTGTCAGGAAGCACGAGGAAGCTGCGTCCGACGGACCTCCAGGCATGAACGCGAGCAGCAGTGTCTGGCGACCTGCACAGACAAGCGACACTGATCCCTCGCCACGGGGACTCCCCATCAGTCTCGCAAGTTCTCCACGCCTGCCCGCCATGGCAAGTTGCGGAGCTCTTTCCCCCCCAACTTGGCTCGACTCTCTACGTGAACTCTTCACTCTGATGTACTATCCCTCTCTCTCTCTCTCTCCATCCCACTCTCTTGTATGTACAGTGGAGGCCAACCCACAAGAGAACTTCCACAGTAAACCCAACCATAAGACCCCAGGGCGTCCATCGATGTTTGGTGTGGGAACGTCGCGCTCTCCATCGCAAAAGCATCGACACCCCAAAAACCTGGGGCACACTGGAGGCCAGCAGGGTGCTTCTTGGCATGGGTCTCCGCTGCATGTGTACGCATCCCTCTCCCAAGTCTGTATATCCGCCACCGTGCCCCGAGACACGCGCTGGAGTGTCCCCTCGTCCCTCGAGTTCTCCGTCTCCGTCCCCAGCCCTCCAGGCTGCACACTTCAAAAGGCCCAGACCCCGGATTCTGAGATCTCCTGTGGGGGGGCGCGTGCCCCCGCGTGTCGACGCACGCCCATTCTGGAAGCGAGAGGGCTCCAACACGGACCAAGAGAGCCCCAAGAGGCCTCCATCTCAGGGGGCCCCGCGTCGCCCAGATATAGTATAGCTCCAATATGCCCAGGCGGCGTCAAGGCGGCCCGGGAAACCACCAAGAAACCCCAAGAGGGCTCCAAGAGGACCCTCGGTAGGGCCCCGAGGCCAAACCCAATGATGGTCCCCCATTGGTTTTGGAAGGAATGTGAGTTCTCGCCTGTTCGGGCTTTCGACACCCCAAGGGACCCAAGAGGTCCCCAATAT